ATATTTCCTCAAAGAATCTCATGTAAGTTGTTTACTTATATTCCTACAGCCTGCATCTCCCAACCACTCTGAGACGGCCTGATGCCAGGAGCTGAGGACAATAGGTTAAAATGTCACAGCAGCTCAGATGCTTTGCAAGGCAAGTTCAGAAATAGATTTCTAGTAGAGGGACCACAACGGGCTGTGTCTATGCTCTTGAACATTTCGGTGTTGAAAGTCAAATGCTGGAGACCACCTGTCACTATAGCCACAACAGAAACAAATCATGGCTCTGGGCCGGACTTTGATCCAAGCTGCTATAGTATGCTGGGACAGATACAAGGTTATTTTAGGGTCATCTAACTAAGACAGTTTGCTTTATTTCTCTCTTTAGCTTTGCCAAACCCTTGAACAAGCTGAAGATGATGTGCGTTAGTGCATACAACTAATCGGACTAATTTATTATTTAAAAAAAATTATCAACCAGTAAGTAAGTAAAACAATTATTCTCTTTGAAAATGCTGTATCCAGAACTCTCCAAGTAGCAGTTTTCGCTTCACCTAATATAAATTCCACCATATTTCTCTTTTAACGCACCTATAGTAGCCCTAATGTGCGCGTATTATAATATCTAAGTGTTAAGATGTCAGCATACCTCCTGACTATGTTATGCCTGAGCATCACCTCAAAGACTTTCTTGACGCACATGGAAATTTCTCTAAGATGTTGAGCTTGAAAAGGGAATCAAAAACATTAGCTTCAAAGCAATATTTATGGCAGGCAGAAACACAGAAGGATTGATGTGGTCCAGGATCCTGTTTGCATGAGAATACATTGCTGAGAATACTTCATATGGCGGATAAAGGACAATGATCTAGGCCTTGGTCTAGTTACAGGATTAAGCACCTGTTAGCCATCTAATCAGTGGGACAGAAGAAATAGCCTCCAAGATTTAGGTTCTTACAACTTGCACTTCTTTAATTTGCTCTTCTCTTTTGCTGAGTTCAAATTCAATGGCTGCATCCTGCAATGGCTAGATTCGTCAGCTGATTATGTCATAGCGCGGCGCCAAAGCCTGTTTGGATTGGAAGACTCCTCGTTATGTGGCAGACAAAAGCAGCCTTCTTTTTGCCCATTTTGAAGAACGGGCTTAAGGTATCCTACGTAGCCTTGGGTATGCCGTGATTCATTGTGAGTCCAAGCAAGCCGCCTGCTCCGTGCTCAGAGGAAAAAGGTCAATTCCGTCAAACAGTGGTGAATATTGTAAGTGCAGTTTATTATATTACAAGTGTGTGAATAGTTCCTTCTGAAATTAATTTAAATTGTTTTTTTAATGGTTATAGTGTCAGATATGTGGCAGGTGATGTTTGTTCCTTTGCAAATGGGGAACCGATAAAACAGTGTGGGAACTATAAATCTGATATTCGTGATAAAGGGGCTGCTGTTGAAGCTCCTTGAAAATGATATTAGCAGCCAGAACAGCAGTGAGAAGTTTGGTATCCATTCTTTGCCTGCTTTGTGTGTCAACTGTAAGTGTTGCTAGGCGACTGAGCGTATAGGCAATGAAAGCTGGAGAAGGCTGGACCTGTTGGAATCCACAGCCAAAACTCTTCCATCCTCTTTATTTTCAGGAACCTCAAAGGACCCAGTCCAGGTACACCGGGTCTTTGGGGGACATAGCCACTGAAATCAAACGCGCCCGTGATCTTTTTCACTCCTGTTCAGCTGTGCGTGAAAGCCAGTGGAGGTATCGCTACCTTCCCTGTTGGTTTGGCAGCCATGCTGTTCTGTTTACATACCATATGGTGCACACACTGTTTAGCCAAGGTCCTGCCCCACGTTAGAGAAAGAAACATCCTGGTTATTCCTAGTTCCTGGTCATTCCCACTAAAAAGCCTGTGTTCGCTTAAATGCACAATCAATTAATCAATTGTTATCAAATTGCATTTTTTTAACTCATAATGCATTGTTAAATTTTTTCATTTTTCAGACTAACAAAAAAAATTCAAGTATAACCAAAAATATTAATAATTCCGTCTTTTTTTTTTTTTTTAGGTGGGATACTCAACGTGTTTCCACCATCCAGCTGTGTTTAGTCTGTTAATAAATCTTGAGTTTTGAACCTGCTTTTAATATTTTCATTTGTTAGCTCCTGTCTAGGCATCAGATTTATAACCATCGCATTGAGGACTGGTTGTTGTAAAGTGAGGACAGGTTTAGGGCTGTGGTGCCAATAGGGTTAGGCTTAGGTATGCATTGGTAACGGTTAGATTTAGGGTTATTTTAGGGCATAGATAGGGTTGAAACTTAAAAATCAATGGAAGTTAATGGGAATGTTGCCAATTATAGCAAGTCAAGAGTATGTGTGTTTGACGTTTGTTTATCCTTAGACTTCTACCTTGTCCCTGAAGGGATATTCAATGTTATTGTGACATCATCATATAATGGCCATACTTCAAAGGGGTGTAATAGTAGATGTAGTATCAGCCTATGACTGAGGAGAACCTTTCTCTGGAGTACGTCAGGTTCAAGTGTCTTAAGATAAAAGATCAAAGCTATTAATAGCACCGAGGTTTTTCTATCCGACGTCTGTTAGCTTCAACACCCTCATATTGTCAACGGATAATTGTCCATCACAGGCCGAACAGCAACAACCATGATTCCAGATTCTACCTGGAATTACTTATCAACCTACGTATGAAGTACAGAACATAATACTAAAACCAGAGACCTTGATCTGAATCCTGTATAAAAACAAGCATCCTTACACTGTGACAAGAATACAAACAGGTAAAGTAAGAACATTTTAGAGCAGGAAGGGAGCTCCCACTGTAAGTTGGGATGTGGTAGCTCATAAACTTAAATATACAAGTGGAAGGCCATGTGGGGACAGCTTGATGTGGCATGCTTCCCGCGTTGACTTCTTGAATATGTTTTCTTTTTCTGTTTGAAATGGCATTCTGTCAAAAGAGCGTTAAAAATTCCAACCAAAAAAAAAACTATAGAGCTGACAAACCAGCAGGGTGGGTTCCAAAACTTGGAGCAGAGCAAGCTTATCTCATATACCCCAGCAGTTAGGAGGTTTGACACGCTCACTAAACCAACCGCTGGGCTACAAAAACAAAACAACAACATGACTTGGTGGAAATAATCCAGAGAAGTGGGTCGACATCACCTTTAAGTGTAAAAGATTACTAAAAATGGCAGCAATGGTGTCTATCTTCACATAATTGTAAAATTTTTATTTTAACCTGATAAAAAACAATAAACTAACAGTTTAAAATATCTCATTACTCTTTCTGTTATTATGATGCACAAATGTAGAAATGGTGGTTGTGTTTACAAATTAAAATCTATTAAATATCACTGCCATCAAGACAAAAATCATCTGAGCTAGAAAGGATCAACTGGATCCAGTGTTTGGGAATCCCTGCATTTAAGCTGTGTGTGCCAATACTATATTAGGATAGCAGCTTTGAGATGACAGACAGATTATAAAAGAAACAACTTTTTATTTGTGTCACATCAAAAGATTCAGATTCTTCTGTTTTCATTCCTCTTTATGAACTAGTTGGAATAAAGTGCATAAAGATTTGGAAGAAGAGTCGACCCAATACCCTGTTAAGTGATGTTAATAACCACAAATATACCAAAGCTCTAATGATAATGTTATATATATCTTAATAACTGAAATATATATACTAATTTTAAAAAGTAGAGGGTCCTAAAAATGTCCAGGATGAGACCCCGTAAAATTAATGTCTTTTTCTCTACAGAAAGTAGACTAGATGCTCAGTGCAAACCAAGACTTCTTTGTTTCACAGCAACAACAGAACATAATTATGAAAGAAGGAACATATTCATATAATCAAAGTTAATCAAATGTTTGAAAATCTCTCATCATGAAAAAAAAAATATATATATGCCCTTTTGGTATCTTGCCATCTGTAGGATATTCAAGAAAATATAAATTTCTGACATTATCAGACATTATCACTAAGGCTACGTTCACACAACACCTGAAATGACCAAAATCTGATTTATTTGGCCCATATGCGACCTGGATCTGATCTTTTCATGGCTGTCTGAACAACACAAATCCGATTCTTTCCAATCCGAACCAGGCCGCTTGGCTATGTGGTCCTGAATCCGATATGAATCTGATCTTTTCAAATGCAACCTGTGTTGCATTCATCAAACCTGAATGGCATTAATACAAAAAAAAGGTCACTATTCTGTGTCTTGCTATGAAGAAGCGGCACAGGAGATCACATAGAAGTCGCATATATTTAAAAAAGTGAACGGCAATGCAAAAAAATCTGATTTCACAAAAAAAACATCGGAATTGAGCATCAAGGCCTGCAGTGTCAATGTGGCCTTAGAGAAGGGCCCCCTGACTAGAGTTTGCCCGGGGCCCCAAAATGGCTAAGTTTGCCACTGCCCCTGAGCTTCAGCTTATAGAAGGCTTCACTTATTTTTAAACCTCACACACATTATCCTAATGTCATTAACAATTAATCGAAATACTCATGCAGATTCTTTTTCTTTTAATTCATCAAATTGAACATTCTGCTAACATACCAGGACCTGTAAAATTAGATATTATTTAATCGCAAAAAAATGTATGTTTAAAATAAAACCAAATATTCCTTAGAGTAATATTGGGCATAAATAGAGCAGGATATTAATAATTTTTGTATTTGTTGGTGGTGGGTTTTTTTGTTTGTTTTTTTAGATTAAAACGAGCATAACAAAGATAAAGACGGGTATTTTATTAATTATCAAACGTAGTTATGTTAAAAACGGCTATTTATATAAAAAAAAAGTTTTTAATCTAGTTTATTTTTAACTGTCACAACCCCCAGTGTTTACAGACCATTTATAGTAACAGTATTGTTGCAGATACAAGTTAAAGGGTTGCCATGGTTGCAACACCTTAACTTTGATCTATGCAATGAGGATGATCTTTGCTTGCAGCCATAAACTCATAAATTCTGCAGCTAGGTGAACTTTCCACTCACCTGGCTGCTCCCTTAGTGCCATTACTGACACGATATAGTGCGCCATATCAAAGTAAGGAAACATGGACAAGTTTGCCAGTCCGTGGGAAAGCTCGTCCAAGTACAACATCCCGAACAGATCCATCTTCCCGTTCCTGGGGCTGGTAGGGAACTATGCTATTTCACTGGTTCGACCCTCGAGTGGAGGAAAGGCACCGGTCCAAATGTGAGCATCAGAGTATAAACACTTCATCCGCGCCCTGTGAGGTCTGACGAAAGCCAGGCGGGCACACAAACAGCTGTGTGTTTGGGGTACGCCTCTGTTGAGCGGCCCACAGCTGGCTAGCTTAGCTTTAGGATCCCCGGTGGTCGCTGGGCAACAGCTCTACGTTGCTACGGAGCGGTCATCAGCTAAGCTGTCATCCCCTCAGACGGAATTCCTGCTTCTTACTCCGCCATGCTAGTGATGTGGTGGGCGGAGTCAGAGAGGATCGTCGTTGGAGGATTACAGCCAATCAGATGTCAGAGGGTGGCTTTGCAAAGTTATGAAACAGGATATGAACCAGAAAAAAAAAACATCAAAGAAGCTTTTAGAGTATATTGGTACCATATTGAGAAAACTCAAGGGTCGCACCATATGCTTTCTATGTTATTAAAATGATTCTATACAACAGATATTTGTGCTAAAATACGGAAGAGGATTAGGGTCACTGATTAAATAAAAAAAAGTTAACTGATTTTGACTTTAATCTAAGAATTCTTTTTTCCTCAGAATTCTGACTTTGATCTCAGAATTCTGACTTTCATCTCAGAATTCTAACTGTAATCTCAGAATCTTGACTTTAATCTTAGAATTCTCACATTTTTATCAGAATTCTGACTATAATCTCTGAATTCTGACTTTAATTGTGGCTTTAATGTCAAAATTCTGACTTTTTTCCTCAGAATTTTGAAGGTAAACTCAGAATTTTGGCTTTAATCTCAGAATTCTCACTTTTTTTTATCAGAATTCTGACTTTTTTTCTTAGAATTTTAACTTTAATGTCAGAATTCTAACTTTTTTCACAGAATTCTGACTTTTTTCCTCAGAATTTTTACTTTTTTCACAGAATTCAGATTTTAATCTCAGAATTCAGACTTTTTTCCCATACAAAACTGAAAAAAAGTTTAACAATGGTTAATTAATAAGATAATTAGATATTAACATAGGATAGCATTTAACATAGGATAACAGGATTTTTTTTCTTATTGTAAACATAATTTTATTTGATCTGCAAAACATTGTATATCCTTAAATCAAAGTAAAAAAAATACACTTGGAACTTCTTATATTAACATTTTTGCTGTGTGTGTTTTCAGTACAGGGGCCAAGACCAGTTCTACAGGGGCACTGGTCCATCTTGGCCCCTTACCAGAAAGACCAATGCATTAGAGTTGAAATGCAAAGCATAACTACACCACATGCTGCTAGATACAGTAAACATTTATTGTATTCTTTACATGTAAACTCCAGTTCAAACTGAAAAAAAATGGGATTCATATTTAACTGTATGAAAGCAAGCATGAAGCAAAACCAAAAATGACTTCAAACAAAAAGTAAAGCCAAGTATAATGAACATGCATACGGTGCAGATGTTGCTTCAACCCTAGTTTATCCATTAGATGCCTCTTTTTATTTCGAGCCAAACCAATCCATTAAAGCAAAAGGGAAGAATATATGGTTTTATTTTGTATATAAATTGCTCACAAATTGTCACTCAACTTTAAGCCAAGTGTAAAACTTCATAAAAATAATAACAAGGCTTCTTAAAATAGGTTTTTTCTTGTTCCACATTGATTCACTTAATTAACCAGTGTAAAAAAAGTGGAACTGAAGAGCTGTCATGTTATATGTGAGGTCTTAATCTCCAATAAATTCTAGAACATGGCCTCTATTTAATTCTAGAACATGACAACTTATGATGGGTCTGTCTGTTAGCACAGATAAGAATGCAGCAATAATGATAACAATGCATGTCCTTATTTCAAAACTCTATAAAACTTTAAGTTTGTCAAGGCATATATAATGATGCAAGAACCCAGGAAATCATTTTATTAACTTTTTGTTTTTCACATTGGTTTTTCATATATAGATAAAAACATCAACCTTACAATAAATAAAGCAGTCCTCTAGATAGTTTAGAGGTATTCTATAATGTGTTTATAATTTACAAAGAAAGCTTGACTGACTGAAACAGAAAACTGCATGTTTGATGGTCAATGCAAGTTAATCGTTAAACATCTAAAATTAATAATAATAAAGGAGATTGCTACTCCGTAACCGGGCATTTAAATTAAAGAAAAGCACTTGGAGAGATACAGTATTCTTGTAAAATATGTAATTCAAGTAAGGAGCCAGTAGAGGGCAGTGGAGCCCCTTTATTATGTCTCCTAATGTTGACATCTTCTTGAAGGTAATCATGCTGGAAGATATTCATCACCAGCTGCTGTCAACGAGGGAGTAATTTCCTTTCTCATGCTCTCTTATTAAAAGCATAAATCAAGAAAGAGAATATTTTGCACAGGAAATTATAAAAGATAATCTGTAATTTATAAGTAGTAGCTCCGAAACTTTGACCCTCTCCAATTTCTGGACTTAATTACTAAAGCTCATGGTCATTTTGGTTCTTTCCTATAAAATTTCCATGTTATTTAATATTGCAATGGAGCTCACACTATCTGTGTTCCCAAATTCTAATTTAGGCTGACGTGGACTAATACAAATATTACTGACATGCAGAGAGGGTGTACCAACATGAACAGGTAATGATGTAATCTCATTTTTAAGGTTATTATGAAGAGTGAAACTCCACCCGAAACCACTCCTGTGTTTGGAAGCAGCACAGCACTGAGATCTGTAACTTCTTGTTAAATTCTTTGTATCTCACTGTATATTGTCTCTGGAATCACTCTATACATGGCATGGGGCATTTTATCCTTGTGGGGACTTTCCATTGACTTCCATTCATATTGCATTCATTTCTTTGAGCTAAATCAAACCCTGAGCCTTACCTCACCTTAATCTTAACTCAATTCACACCTAGTTCTCAAACCAAACCCCAAAACTGAACTTTTCCTGGATTACTGTTCCCAACAAATTAGCATGTTCTTGGAAAACTGTCCTTATTCTGTCTTCACAAGGTTAAAAATAATACCTGGCCAAATAAATACACACATATGTATGTCCTTCACCTTAATAAAATCCAAGAATTCTGATCCATTTTTAACCACTGGATGGATTAACCAGAAAACTGTTCCTTTAATACGGTAGTGCAGTAATCAGTATAAGTTTCAAACTTTAAATAATCTGTCCTTAACATTTCTTCCTGCATTAGTTTTACTTTAATACTTTAAGTATTAAAAAATGCACTTTTAGACTTCTACTTGAGAAATTAATATTAGTACTTTTGACACCTCTGGATTTAATTGTTTTTGGGGAACAAGTTCTTCCAATGATTTATTCAGATTTCTCAGACCAATTTCAAAGACTCAAAAACTATATTTAGAGCTTTTCAGTGAAGGTTGCTTATCTTTTATCACTGCTCCGTGGCTGCAAAGCCTGTCAATCAGTTGTTATCCCCCTTTGTTTCCAGTCTGAATGCTGCCGTCCTTGAGGAAGCCAGACAGGGCTAAGGTTGCTCTCAAAAAGATCTGTTCATGAGCACTTCCTGGAATTGGAACAGCTTGTTTCACATTTGCCAAACAATTGAAGGTCAAAGAAAACTGTTTACTTGGAAATTTAAGAAAATAACTTTGTCCATTCCCTGGAATGCCCCAACAGCTGTTCTAGAGTTTCTTTCAGTCGCTTTGGTGCATTTCTCATATCAATAAGTTAGTTTAACTTTGACAACTTTGTAGTCTTTTGTACATAATTGTTGCAGTTTCTCATTTCTTCCAACACATTTCAAAAGTCTGTGGATTAGTTGTTTTCATACAACTTTCCGATTTTTATAACATTGTTATTAGCTTTTATTATGTCAATCAAACTGAGCAATACTTCTGAATGACATATAGTTATTTCATACGAAACCAATGGTCCTCAATTCATTGTCTGAGCCCTTACATACAACAGTGTTGGACCTTTTGTTAACAGGAGTGGTCAGAATGATAAAAGGTATTAATGGAGACCATCTGAACAAGTATGCTGTTGTTTGGGATGATGTGAGTTTTCACCATACAGATGCTGTCAGATAGTGGTTTGCAGCACACAAGATTATGCTGGTGGAATATTTCAATCCCTACCCACCATTCCTAAATCGACTAGCTGAGTTTTTCTCCTATTGATGTGAGAGGTATATGACTAACATTCACATACATAAAGGGCCCTTCTAGTGAGCTTGGATTCAATGACATACATATGTAGGGTCTCAGGGTGGGCATATATCCAGGGCACTTAAGGTGGATCAGTCTTTCTGGCTTTGCTTCTGATGCTCATGCCCACCTGTGGTTCTTTGAATGCAGTTAAACACTTAGGGTTTAGGGTGGGAGAGGTGGCACATCTACCCTCCGCCCAATTTTAAATACACAGTATTGGTAAATCTGTTGGGCCATCTAGCTCTGGGACATATATTCCCAGAGCAAAACAAACACAAGAAAGCAACAATAAAAAAAAGAGATTGGATGCAGCATCTGTTTATATATCAGCAGAGTCCTACAGATGGTATTTTCGATATCTGAGGAGATACTTTTATGGAGGTCCAGCTCTAACATATTTTAAAAATACCAAAGGCTTCATGGGTTAGTTGGGTTCACCTGACATTGGGTAAGAGTGTGAAACTTTATGGCAACATACCATACCAGATGGCAACTTGCTTGTTCACGCTTGTTGGCAACTGGCATTGCCATACCTAGTGGCTTCAAGCGCCACCACACCTAGTGGTTACTGGCGACAAGATAAAGATCCCTTTATTGTCATAAATTGCTGAGTGTATTAGTTAGGCTTTTATTTTGTAGAGTACCTGTTGTCCTATTTTAAAGGTCTAGAAGAGCCTTGTCTTTAACAAAATCTCAGACTCTGGTGTCATATGGAATCAATTTACAATTGATCACTCTTTTTCCTTTTTATTAGGTCAATAGATGATTTATTACAGTGGAAATGGGAGAGCTTTATTTTGAACTGTGGACTAAGGTGTGCTGTGAACAGGCCTTGGTATTCTAATTTCAAGAAACTGGTTGAATTTGAGTCATAATGTTGAGCCATATGCTGCAAAGAATTAGTGTGTATAATGTAGAGGCTTCTGTAGAGTCCCTAATGCGTTACTTTGATAGTCCACCAGGGTTGAGTATTAAGGAAAGGGGTACACCTAGCATTAATATAGAATCTATTTTTCTCATGGTTAAGTCACACTTTTTCCCTGTTATTAGGTCAATAAATGCTTTATTACAGCAGAAATAGGAGAGCTGCTCCCTGGGTGCTGTACAATGGCGCCCGGGGAGCAGAGTGGCGCT